ATAAATATTTTCTTTTTCTGAAAAAATAAAAAGACACTTATTATTTATATTTCGTGTTACAGAAATTCTTTAAACTTTATCAGCGTGAAGGAACCTAGAGAAAAAATTGTTATAATGTTTTTTGTTTATTTTAACCTAATTGTTCAAGTGCAATAGAAAATAAGCTGTTGAGATAAATAGCACTAAGGACATCATGTTAATCATGACTCGTTTCCATTCTGGAAGACTAAGTTGTTGTAACTCTATATACCTACCACAACATTACTATCTTATATCTCTACCCTTTGATATGAACAGAGATTACAAGCTGCTAGCATACCAAAGTATCCATGCAGACAATTTTTAAAAAGTCTACCTCGGTATAAAATAATATGTAATATGTTATGTACATTACAGCAATATGACATTAGGAACAACATATAAAAGGGAATGATTTTGTTATGAATGAGCTCATTTTCAAGTAATGTGGATACAGACTGATATCAGTGAAAGAATTTGTTAATATTATCGCTTAATATCAATTAATGTAGACTATTGCTAACAATATACCATGTCAGGTTCAATACCACGTGGAATTACAACTAATTATTGTAATCATAATACATTACTCTCTAGAAACTATCATGCTAAATTGCTAGTGAATTTTTGCGATGGGCTAACTGACCTAACCTCATATTCGTCTTATCACCCTCCACTGGTGCTCCGCCAGCGTATACTGTTAACGCAGGCGTGTGCACCATTCCATTATTACCGATTAAAAATAATAATAATAATAATCTCAGGACAATTCACATAGTGCCATCTAAACCCAAGATAAGCTAGCTAAAGCTTGTGTTATGATAGATGGATATATATTTTTTTCGTAAATACATACATATTATAGAAAACACCCAAACCGATACAAACAATCATACTCATAAATACAAATATTTGTGCCGTGCGAGGAATCAAACCCGCGACCATCAGAAGTAAGTCGGTGTGCTAAACCTCTAGATCACAGTTTAAAAAAACACTAATTTCTATAAATCGAGGGTTTCTGGAAATTATTTGCTATAGACCCAGCGTTGATATAATCCCACACTGCCTTTCCATTATCACCTGTTAAAAGAAATAAAAATAATATCGAATATAATATGTACCTTTATAATGCCGTATATAAGACCACAACCACTAAGGTAACGCAATAGAAACGAGATCGCCATCACGACGTAGAAAAGTTTACTAATCCTATTTAAGTCAGGTAATATAATCGCAGGACGTATATACAGTATAAAGGCCGGCAGACAGATTACCTGAAAAAAAAAATTGTGGTTAGTTTGTATATTATTATTTGACAACAATATTAAAATACACATTTCAGTTGTTGTTCTACTGTTGAAACTAATTCCTATCCAATAACATTAGGTTACGCTGTGTCAAGTCTTTTGATATTGTACCCTTAAATTGTACACTAGCAACGTATTATTCTATATTATTACTTTGTTCAATAAAAGATCTAGCTAATATTGTTAAACATTAAATAAGTTCCTACATTACGTTTAAAAGAATGAAAATGGATTAGGGAGAGAACAATATATTGTCGTTCTCTGTACACATGGAGAGGCCATACAAATCTTGTTACTGTGAAAATTTTCTACGAAATTTTGACCATAGGATAAGATTTCCTTTAAACAAGTTATTTCTAGAATTACACGTAACTAAAAAACCTGATTTTTACCAAAAGGGATAATAATTTTAAAAAATACGAATATCTCTATATTCACTGTAGTAATAGAGTCAGCCGAGTAGAGTGGACGTAAATATTTTTACAGCAAACTTTCGATAGAGTATTGTTATCACGCTCGGGTGAAGAGAGATGAAATACTGAAGAATACGTACATCGTAATTTTATAGTGTGGACAAAATCCTCTTAAGACTACTCTAGTAGTATTCCTGCTTTAAACAAGTGTTTCTCAACCTTTCTAGTGCCATATCCTACCTTAGCCTTTTTAAAATTCTTATGCCCCACTTTTTATGTAACATACATAATTTTAAATTTATAACATTAAAAATCTGAATTGTTCACTTAATAAATTTAAATAATAGTTTTTAAAAGAAGAAATCACTAGCAAATTAAATTCACTTTTTATGAAATGTGAATTTCAATTGTAATAAAGAGTCTAATTTTAAATTTATAGTTGGGACACACTGATTTAAAATTGTCAATGAAACAGTAAATTTTCAAAGGATATATCGTTACATTAATACGTTATTAATGCGTCTGATTAATTGTAACCTAGCAAAAATAAATAATTAATTAAAATTATTATAAATATGCTTTTACACTCACGTTAACATTACATTACGATAAAGACTTATTTACATTATTACAGAAAATTAGGTATATTAGAATTGATTACTACCAAAATATGAGATTGTTTTATTATGGTAATATATACATATAAATTACACTACGTCTGTAGCAAGTAATGATATAAATTGCCGCCTTATACATTAATTACAAAATGTACACAAAATTTACTTACTGTATTTGTGACGGCGATGATTATCGCCTTTATATGTTTAGTGCAAACATTCTTTGTAGATTTGAAACCCATTTTATTTTTAACTACTTCTACACGTATAAAGTTGACTATTCACAACAACGTTTTAGCGCACTCTAATAATATTTATTTAATAATAGTTCTTTTATATGATTAGATAATAATCGAAGGTAATTATGTGACATATAGGTAAAGTGGGGATAATGATAACACAGACATTTTCTCTACTAAAGGTTGTTAAAATGTTGCTAAAACGTAACTCCTACGGCTCCACCCATTTCGTTTCTACCACGCTATCTCGCCGACCCACGACACCGTCCTCACTGGCAAAGACAACAACCTTAATACGAATACGACAACTATACGGATGGTCGATCGCATCAACCGGTCGTCTGCATGGGTCCGGGTACTCCATACTGGCGCCCTTGGTGAGACTTCCAATCTACCCATTTTTCAGTTCAAACAGGGATCGAAAATATGACGGTTTGAGCCGATGTTTGAACCCCTATCGGTGTCCTCAGACTAAAGTCGTATCCGTCTGATAGTAGTTTGCCTTCAGCCGCTCCACAAGTCCTTTCACGGGTTTGGAGCAGCAGGTCAGCTGCGGCCAACAACGTTAGTATAATTTCAGCATGAAGTCTTGGTGCTAAAACAATATCTTCTCCGTTCATATAAGTTTTCATACCAGGGAGTACGAAGGAGATTGGGTGGGATTATTTTGTACTCATGAGTTTGATGTTTTAACTGACTTAGTAAAATAGGTTATGATATTTATTACTTTTTAGAAAACAGTAAAATATTACTGTAAATTAATTCGTAGAAAAATGTTCTCAACGTATCTAGTAACTACTGAAGGAATGGTCCTTTCACACTGGGTGTCATACGGAAATAATACACATAGACAGCTTTCATGGATGTTTTCGAGGGTGTCATTTCTATCCTCGTAAATATGTCTCATATCTCAAAAATTTGACGATGTTGTGGTTATATAATAAATGATAGCTTTTAAAAGTATCAAAAGTATCTGTCTGTTCATTATCTTTCTAGAATTAAACGGCTGCATAGATTTTAAAAAAATCACTTGAAGATAAATCGTACCACAAGACTGTTACTCAAAGCTGTTAGCTCAAAATAACCATATGAAGTCGAGGTAAATAACTAGTTTTCAATAAAAATAAAGTTTGCATATAATAATTCCCAAGAAAAAGCAATAAATATTGTGTGAATATGCATGTTATCGACATCACACCGACAAATAAAAACTAAGTATTACTATGTAATATTATGTTATCTGTGGTATTACAAAAAAGTGGTTTAATTAAGCCTGGTTTACTCTGTAGGCCTAATCTATGTAATAACACCAACCGAATTACTGCTGAAAATAATTCTATTTCAGAATAACGAAGCTCGTTTGGCAACATAAAACAAGTAAATTTTTTTATTGAAATTAATTATTATATGTACTTGGTCAATTTATCCCTCTTCGTTAACTATAACATGTAGATGTTTAGTTTAGGGAAATAACCGAGATTTTGTTTTGGTTACAACTTTTTTTATATTTCCACAAAATGAAGCGCTGAGTTTTATAACTAACTAACGGTTACTGATAACAATAACACACGTACTTGGGTACTTTGGTAAATAAAAATTGATAATTGTATTTATTGATTTAAAATTGTATAATACTACTGCTACGCAATAACTATTTATAATAGGCAATACATTAAAGTAAGACTAGAGGAGATGATTAATGTGAACTAGTGGCCCTATAACTACCAATGTGATTTCAGGCTGACCTCCACGCCGTCCCCCTTGAAAACCACCCTGGTTAATACCTAGTAAATTCACCATGATGGGCTGACTGACCTGATTTCATTCTGTTCAGGCGTAGGCGGGGGAACCATTTTACCATCATCAAATGTTTGAGGTTTAAATACTAAAAAGTATATATTGTAGTAATATACTTGCTGTACCCTTTTATATAACTTGTAACTGGCAAATCGCTAATAAAACTGTAGCAACCATAGCCTGTACACATGAACAGCACTACGAAGTTACGTGGCTCCCGTATTACCAATCATTTTTTATACGATTGTAATGGCATACAAGCTGACGGCCCACCTCATAGTAAGCAGTAACTGTCATCTATACATCAGAAGACTAAGATTAAGGTATTACCCTATAATTTCACTGTCTAACCTTTACTTTATCACCGAAACAGCTTTCAAAGCAAGCGCTTGGAGCTGATAGGTGAAATTGAGATGAAAACGCATACTACTTTTTACTGTCTACATCTGGTTCAAAGTCTATGAGAAGAATGTCTGGTTTGTGGTTATCGCTAATAATATTTTCATACACTTATCAGGAAATGAATTTTCATACAATTGTCACGGCACGATTAGATAGGTATATATGATAGGACAAAAATCGTATTATCACGGCAGTGATAATACGATTTTCAGACCGAGTAAACGTAGGTCGAATCAAATCCAAGTGAAATATATTTACTTTATAAATGGTTTCCCGTACATTATGGATATTTATAGTTTTGGAAATTTTATCGATTAACATCAGTGTGAAACGGTGAAAATGAGTGTGCCTATTGTGAAAAAGTGTTGTTTTTGTGTGAATTTGCATACAGCTGCTTTACTTATTGGAATACTCTATTCGGTACAATATTTTATATATTTTCCTCTGTTTGTCAAGCAGTTTGCAATTGACTTCAATAGGGACCAATTGTTTTTGTAAACGTGTTGTACGCTATTTACCAAACCTGAATACAATTTGCATTAGATCATGTCTACTCCAAAGAACAATATCTTATAGTATTCCTATTTCTATGTTGCTCCTATATCATATCTATTATATTTTGCATGCTTGGAAGTTTCATTATAACGTCACATGAAATCTTATATTATTTCACATAAACTATTTTTAAAAATCAATATTTTTTAAAGGTGATTCCCGTTTGCAGTTACTAACATATAATATCGAATACATTATATGTTAGTCTGTTTAAAATAGACATATGCAGACAGCTAATAGTTTTAAACCAATATAATGCTTAATTGAAAAGTAAAGGAAAACAGAATGAAACACAAAATTTTCTTTTGTTCCGACATGACGCATTATTCATAGATAGACAACATAATAATATGACGGAACATTCTAGAAATATTAATAATCTTTCAGAGAAATATTATAATTCTTATCATAACTTTAGCATTTCTTTGACTGAGCAACAGTAGTTTATGCTTATTCGATAGTAGGTAGGTATACGAATATACTAGTTTCAATAAATATAGTATTGCTTTTACATCCTTTGTTTCAATTCGTAAGGTTTTTCCTTATTATTTTTACATTACACCTACGTAGCAAGATTCGATGTTATCATAGAGATAACGATTTACGGTTTCAACCTTGTATTAAAAAATGCACACAATTTTATCAGTATAAGCCTTTTTGATTTGACGATAGAATTGATGGGAAAAATAGAAGTATGCTAACTTTTGAACGATTTTTTCGGTTTTAAAATTGTCTCGTGTACTACTTATATATAACTATATTATCTACTGTTCTGATATCGCCTCTTATTTTAGGATGAAGTATATATGTACATTTAAGTTATCTAGGGTCATAATTTTCCAAAAAATCAAGTTTTCCTATAATAGCTTATTGTTTTTTCTTTGTCTCTAGGATACAGAACACCAATGTACTAGGAAGTATGATATATTTTTATAAATAATTATGACGCTATAAATGCGGCAAATGAAGGACGACACAAAAGAGTTTTCATTACGTTCACCATTATTGTTGAATCTGGTTATATAATACTAGACAATTCACACAGTCCAAATAAATTTTATACTATTGGTACTACGCAATGACAGAAATACTCAAATATAACTTCTTTTAAGCAAATGCCTAAACAATAGAATCACACATAGAAAACCAATTATGTAAAAATGTTTGTATCGAGTGAGAAAGAGTAGGGTACTTCGACTTATAGACCACCGACATGATAAAGTAATATTCATACCACGTATGTGGCAAATAAACACACGGCTCATCCGATAGTAGCCTATGGACGCCTGAAACATCTGTGTCACGTATGTCGACCCTTAAGACACTTTAATATACCCTTCTTGGAAAACACCATGATGTAGTTTCTTAAGAAAACCTTCGCAGGTAGTTCATTCTACAATCTGGCGGAAGCTCCTCTGAGACCGCTGTCGCACTGTTCGTGATCACTTAGGTTCCAGCTTGTAAGGAGGAATTCCCTGTCGATGGCTAGCTGTGCAATGGTATATGGTAGCTGTAGGCATCATGTTAAATTTTTCGGAACACAGTCCGTTGTATATTCGGTAGAACACACAAAGTGATGCGAAGTTTTACCACAAGTGCTTCTATACCGCTCGAGAGATTGGGATCATCGACAATTTTCATAGCACTTCTCTGAAACGAGTCTAAAGGTTACTTGTACCTAATTAAATTTTTGTTCAATTTGTGTAATTCGGTCTAGATACCTACCCACTGGTAGCTGTCATATATTTACTCTTGGGTAGTTAGGTTTGTGTTCCATTTTTTTTTTGTTGACCCCGACAAACTCTGTACCCTCAGCATTAAATGATGTCAAAGGTGACATATTTGTTTGTTCATATTTATTTTGTGATTAAACTTCACAGAAAGACTTATTAAGATACACGTTTAAAAATGTTCTATTTTTTTTTGTTGACCCCGACAAACTCTGTACCCTCAGCATTAAATGATGTCAAAGGTGACATATTTGTTTGTTCATATTTATTTTGTGATTAAACTTCACAGAAAGACTTATTAAGATACACGTTTAAAATTTTTTGTCTTGATTATAAAAAATAAACTTTTATTTGTATGCCAAGGTGAAACAATAGGTAAATAGTTATACATATACCTACTATGGTTCATTTCTAAACATAGAGATAGTTAATAAAATGTGCAAAGAAATAAAATAATATTAAGTTCTCAATTTCTGTTTAAAATATAGTCGCATAATTACTTCCGATGGTTACGGATTCGATTCCTCGCACGGTACGAACATTAGTACAGTAGACCGGCGATAATCCGGCCCCTGTCTTATCCGGCCCCCCTTGTAATCCGACATGGTCTATTATTTATTATTGAATATTATTTTGACATTCTTCGCTAATGCATGATTAAACAAATTTGAACTTGTCTTGTACCCGTCACCACTGTTGTACTCGACGCGTAGGGTATTGTTTTGATTATGATTGCTTAGTTGAATTTGACTACTTATGTACATGTGATGAAGATAGCTTTGCGGTATAGCATGTGTTCATTGTTTACTGTTTATTCATTCTGTATTACTTATCAGCTCAGAAGCGAAAGCACAAAACACTGACAATTCAAGAAAAATGTGATATTTTAGACCGCCTAATTCGTAACGAATCTTTTAGTAGTTGACATACATAATGAAGTAAGATTTGTACTTCAGAGTGCATATACGTACATATATAACATAGAACCTTATCACTGGACCTTTAATTTGTCGGATTACAAGATACTCTTTTGTAAAAAATTCCGGACCCCTTAGGCCCCTCTATAATCCGACAATTCGATTGTCCGACACTGCCCTGCAAAACGATTGTCGGATAACCGCGGGCCCACTGTATTCATGAGTATCTATGATTGTTTGTATACATATTATATATAATATGTATCTGTGTATTTACAAAAAAAACTAAGTATCATCAGTTGTCTAGTATCCATAACACGAACTCTGCTAAGCTGCTAAGTGTAAATTGTCCAGGGTTTATTATTTTTATAACCCTTTTTGACGGACTAACAGTTTGTAAGGGGAAAATAAAAACATATTAATACAGTTTGCGACGTGACGCAAGTTATAAAAATATTTCTTCCCAGAAAAGATAACGTGTCCTCCTGCGTCATCACTTATAAAAATTTTCTTTCCTTAAAACCGTAGTACTGTGGATGTACGCTGATAAGATAATACATACAGTGTACTGGCGAGGTTATCATTTTGCATTACAGTAGATCGTCAGCTTGTTTGTTATAAAATGTTTAATTAATTAGGTATCTACTTATAAACAGTATTTAATATTGATTTCCGACCAGCTGAGCCCATAACTTTTATTATTTTTGTGCAAATGCAATAAAATACAGAATTATAAGCAAAACTTACTGCATAAATATAATATAAGATAGGCAAAAATTCTAATATTGTTATTGTACCTGTTAACCGAGCGGGACGTATAAACACGTCAAACGTAAACACTAGCATGTTCCTCTCCGATCCATGCCCCGTCCGGGGATCGATATTACGACGGCCTGAGCCGACGTGGCAACTAAGCGATCGCATACATGCGTCCGGGCACTCCATACTGGCAACTGTGGTCGCACTTCCGATCGATCCAATTTAAACGGGGCTCGAATTTATGACGGTTTGAGCCGGGGCTCGAACCCCTAGCGGTGCCCTCAGGCTAAAGTCGTATCCGTTAGGCGGGAGTTGCCCTTCAACCGCTCCACAAGTCCTTACGCGGGTTTAGAGTACCACCTGAATTCGCCCCCTATCGTTCGGTGAAGCTGTAAAGGCCAGCTGCGACCAACAACATTAGAGTAGTCCAAAAAAGACGAAGGAATGAAGAAGAAGAAAATATCTACGGGTAGTACATATGAATACATCTTTGAAATTTATGTTTTGCCCTGGAACGGGTGGGACATATACATATTATAGTTTCATACAACAAAGTTTTTGTATTTTCCCTTGATCTATACAGTGGACCCGCGGTTATCCGACAATCGTTTTGCAGGGAGTGTCGGGCAATCGAATTTGTCGGATTATATAGGTTCTGTCCCAAAGCAGTGTCGGGTTCCTCGTCCACAAGTCCCTTGTGAATAATGTTATCGTGTCGACTAGGGTAGCGTACCTGATACTCAGAATTACCAAACGGTATTCGTTGAAGGTCAGCCAAGTGTACGCTCCAACTTCGACGCACTCCGACGATGAGGTTGCGGCTATGTATGAGGATATCTTCAGAGCCATACATAGTACAAAGACTCATTTTAACGTTATCATGGGGGACTTCAACGCAAAATTGGGCAAAGCGAAGCGGTGATGAGCTGAGAGTGGGGCAATTTGGTATTGGTGATAGGAACTTCCGAGGTCAAATGCTGGCCGACTTCATGGAGAAGGAGGGCCTCTTTATGATGAACTCCTTCTTCAGGAAGCCGGAACACCGGAAATGGACGTTAATCCACGTCCCGATGGTGACACAAAAAACGAGATAGACTACATCTTGTCAACGAGAAGACAGATTTTCAATGATGTTTCTGTGATCAATGCCGTCAAAATTGGAAGCGATCACCGGATGGTAAGAGGCACATTGAATCTGAATCTGAAACTCGAACAATACCGACTGATGAAATCTACGCTCCGCCCTACACCTATACAGATCCAAAACCCCGAAAGCTTTCAACTAGAAATGCAAAACCGTTTCGAATGCCTTGGTGACTGCCTTGACGTGGACGATTACAACAACAGGTTCCTGGAAACTGTCCGTGCGGCTGGGTCTAAGCACTTCAAAACCCGCCGCGCAGAAAGAACCGGAAAAATATCTATCTCTACCCTCAAACTGATGGATGGAAGGTGAAGTATGGTCCTACAGTCTCCGACTGACGCTTCCAAGCATCGGCAACTTAGCAGGCAGATCTCTAAGTCCTTGACTCGTGACTTACGCCACTTTAACACAAATTGTGTAAAGGAGGCTATTGAGAAAAACAAGGGCTTAAAAGTCTTTAACAGGGATCTGGCTGCCAGACAGAGCCAGCTGACGCGACTTAAGATGGATGGCGGCAGAATCGTATCGTCTAAACCCGAACTTTAGAGGAAATTGAGAAGTTCTATGGACAGTTATACATGACAACACGGGCACCTGTTAAAAACACGGCGAAAGACCCTAGAGCCAAATTAACCCGACATTATACCGAAGATATCCCGGACGTCAGCCTGTACGAGATTGGTATGGCTCTTAAACAACTTAAAAACAACTAGGCGCCGGGCGATGATGGAGTTACTGCTGAGCTTCTGAGGGCTGGAGGTAGACCTGTTTTACGAATCCTCCAGAAGCTATTCAACTCCGTCATCCTCGAGGGCAGAACGCCTCAAGCATGGCAAAAAGGTGTGGTGGTTCTGTTCTTCAAGAAGGGAGACAAATCGCTTCTGAAGAATTTCAGACCCGTAACACTGCTGAGCCATGTTTATAAAATATATATATAAAGGATGCGCATGACGACGTCAGGTCTTTTTTTATAAATAAATATGTAATTGTACATCCGCTTGAGCTAATTGTATATGCTGGGGTAGCGCTTGCAGAGAATGATAAGTGGTGATGAAGTCAAGTCAGTCATCCCATCATGACAAATTCGTTAATATATTAAATAATAACAAACAATGTCCTCCATCAAGAACCTGGATCCGACTGGGTGTTATTATCCGTATTAACAATGCCTTGTTGATTGCAGATATGGACCCTAGCAGAACTGATAGGTTCGTGTGTGCTGGTGACCATGCTGCCACTTGGAACAGATGGAAAAGTGTCGACTCACAAAAGGGTGCTCTACATTACTGCAGTGGTGGTCTGCTGTGTGCACCTACTGTTCTCAGTACTTTTAGTCGTCGCAGTTCTTAAGGTACGATAAACGAAAAATTCGTTTCACAGGAAACTGAATTAAATCTAGATTACAATGTCCATGATATAATTTTATGTGTAAATCATCGATGTACAATAGGTATTGTAGTCGTCGTTGTTCCTAAGGTACGATAAATGAAGGTTTTATTTCACAGGAAACTGAATTAAATCTAGATTACAAAGTCCATGATATAACTTTCAGCGTAAATGAACAAAACAATGAACATTAGGTATTGTACATTATTATATTGTATATGTCGTAACATTACAAAATTTATTTGAAAAATGTATTTTTTTCTTATATAAAAGAATATAGATTTGATTGAGGAAGAAAAAAAACCATTGACCTCTCCCGAAGTTCCAAAAGAGATGAACATGTCAGTTGAAATTTATGGATGGATTAAATAATAATTGGCCAAATTAATATTAATTTACCAATAGAAATATAAATAAATAATTTTATTACATTGCATACCTGCATTTTACTGTACGCTATTGTGATGTTTTAACAAGCATATAGTCACCCCACCAGGCTATATGCCATGTATGTATTTAAGTTATTATTAATTATCCCTATAAACAAGGTGGGTATATGGTAAAGGGTGAAAATTTAGGGTTGTATGTATTTTTTAATGCCGAAATATAAAAAAAATAATGGGGTATGAAAAACAGTTTTCGTCCTAATCTCAGACATACCTAATATAGCTACACACAAAATTTCATAGGAACCGATCAAGTCGTTTCGAAGGAGTTTTGTGTGTTTGTGATTTTATGTCAAACACTGTGATTGTGATTTTATATTATAAAATTACTATATTAAATTAGAAAAAGAGAGATATCGCATCTTCACTCAAAGAGTATGTAGGTGTGTTATAAGTATATATGACCCAATAAAGTCCTTTTTGATGTTAATTATGGGACACAGTTACCTACATATGTAGATACATCAATATAATAATTGCAATTAATTATGGCTAGCAAGACAAACTCAATATTGTTTATTAAGCACTGCCGTGTCTAAACTGTGTCAGTCCACCTCTCTCCACTCTCACTATTCACAGGACTCGATTTTTTTGATACTGCCTCAGCAAGGACTAAGTTTTATTTTTAATATAATTTGACCACGTCCTCGGTGGTCCAGTGATTACCTATATCACTTACACTTACACAACATTAGATCACCGCCGTATCATGTTATTGTTTGTTGATGATAGCACCAGTAATTGAATTTCCGTAGATAAAAGTTGAATAATGAAATTAGGCGCGTGTAGATATATGTACATGATAGATAGATACATATATTATATGGTAGCTTGGCCAATTCTTGTGAATAATAAGTTATTTATATAAATGATGTAATCCAAATGTCATTATAAGTAGATACTTATCTATTTTGACGCAATTTTGTTTTGTTCTTCCGAACATTGATTATTTTGCGTCCATAGAGGTATCAATCCCTTTGTTCCATTAAACTAATCTTGCGAGATCCTTCGTGTGATAAAACCCGTTAAATTTATTAGAAGATGTGCATATATTTTAAATGTGAAAACACATACACACACGTTTTTACATGTATTACATTTAGTACCTTTTCTTAATTTCTTTCTGACGGCCTCTGTGGTCTAGCGGTTTAGTACACTGCTTTTCTTCGTACGGTCATGGGTTAGTTTCCTTGCAGGGTGCTAATATTTGTATATGTGTATGCTTGCTTGTATCAGTCTGGGTATTTTCTTAGTTGTCCTCGGCGATATCATAAATAAAAAAAAAAATAAAAAAAAATAAAAATAATCTGTTAATTGCCTGTTGCCACCCAATACTTAACAACCGCGACGACTAGTAGACTGTTGAGAACCACTCCGCCACCTGTCAATTTTGGATAAGTTTGGCAACCCTGGCGTTACGTCGTCACATCGTTCCTATCTATAGAAGTCGCTTGTCTCTTTGCATTAAAAAAAAAATCAAAATTCAAAATATCTTTATTCATGTAGGTCTATTACAGACTATTGCACTCAACTATATTAGAGGGAGCACATCGACCCGACCCACCACGCCGCCACAAGTTTGAATTTTATAGCGAGCATGACTGTTTCAAGTTACTCCACTACGTCATTTATATTATTTACAGGATAAACTGTACTAATCACAGTTTTCACCCGTTACAATATTTGATTTACATTATTTAAATTACAATATGTCATTACTAAATTTACAATAAGTTTTTTTAGTGTTTATAACATTATCTATGTCAATGGGAAAATTATATACCTCATAACAAAATTTAAAATTGTAATTAAGTCCACGCATTGTAGTCATTCAAGTAGTCGTTTATTTTATAATAAGCTTTAGCGCAAAGTGTATTTTTTACATGTATCTTAAATTTCCCTTAATTTAAATTCAAAACATTATCAGGCAATTTATTATAAAAACGTATACAATGTCCCATGAAAGATGTGTTTACTTTTTTGAGACGAAAGCTAGGCATATTTAATTTATTTTTATTCCTTGTATTAAAACCGTGTGAGTGACTATTCTCTGTAAATAAATTAAAGTTTACGTATTTTCATATATATCGAGAGTACTGTTCAGTAAGGATACTGGATGGCTTCGCTGTTGCAGTATCAGTTAACTGTCTAATTTTTCTGATAGCAAAAGCAGCCGAGCTAAGTCTTTTGGCCAGTGTGAATATATGTGGTCCCCACTGCAATTTATTATCTATTACAATACCAAGAATAGAAGTCTCATCAACTAAGTCCAAAACATGGTCATTCAAACTAACAATTGTCATTCATTTGGTAAAGAGAATTTAACACATTTTGTTTTCATTGAATTAAGCGCTAGATTATTTGATGTAAACCAGTTAAGAACATCCTCAAGAACATTATTTATATTACTAAAATCCTTTGTATTTCTTTTCACTTTAAAAATAAGTGATGTGTCATCAGCAAACAATACTATGTATGTCAAGTATGTTTTGGAACTGGTAATCCATCCATCGGTTGGATTATCTCGTTTGGCATTTCAATTACATATAATAACTTGTTTAAATTACAGAAGCTGCCAGTATTAACGTTACCTTGGACAATAGTGACGGGTATTATCTCGGCTTTGGTATTTGTCATGGCATTGATGGGCATTAGCTTGGTGCTGCAGGACTGGAATGATATGTCTGTTGTTAGTGCCACCTTCGTAGTGATACACTTAATCAGGGCTTGTAAGTATGGCATGACAATTATATCTATACCTATTAGTTGCAAGTGATAAATATATAGATATGTAGTAGTAGATAATATGTACTTGTAATTCAGTTATATAATATAATTAAGTAACTGCGTATGCACTTTATTAAAAAAAAACCTTTATTGGAACTACAGAAGTTAGAACAAATGTTTGTCTGCTTGTATGTCCACGTGCATTCCACAAAAACTATTGCATGGAATTCAACGCATTTTTTCCTGAAGCTTTATCTATTAGAAGTCTGTGCTTTCCGCTTTACTAGTCTTTTTCGATGCAAGGGCGGATCATTCGTATACAATAAAATTTAGGAATTCGTTACAATTTACATGGAAATTAAATATTTTTGAACATGTACCTCATAATACCTATTAGATAGGTAATATTTTTCCATCCCAGATGGGGCAGTGACAGGTATCTATTATTAGTAGATTTTAGTGTTATGGTGAACGCCAAACTTCATTTATCACATATATAGGTCACATTTGGCAGGGTATATTCGAATTCAATAAGGCAGTACTGAACCTCACTAGGTTCAGTACTGCCTTATTGACGTCACTACGTCAGGTCGGTTAGCACAATGTAAACTAGAAAAATATCAGTTTACACTACCGAGCTGATATGGTAGATTGCTAGCAATGAGCCGTTATTAATATTCCCATCCCCTATAGTCAACTTTCACCATCTATGAAGAGAAAATTAGTTAAATGATTAGTGACCAATCGAAATTTCGGTTTCGGCCAGTTTCGACCTTAGTTTTGGTTCCGGCCCAGCCAATATCGACTGTTCGTGAAATTATTATTATAATAATATTTTCTATGAATAAATATTGTAATATATGTATCTATGTTTAGACTAAGGCGGAAAATGTATCTAATATTTAATGATAAGATGGATTACATAGGTACCTACTTAGTACTAGACAGATTATCGTGATAAAAATAAGTATTCGATTTATGTTTGTGTAACATAATTACGTCATATAATTATTAATTAGTTAAACACTCTAACTGAAAGTATATTTTTTTAAAGTTTAGTTTTAACACAGATAACATAATATTGTTTTAAGAATAATTGCATATACCTAATATGTAAGAAAAAAATTGTTACGTTCTTTTTATTCGACACTATTTAACTGTGTTAAAAAAACAAAATTTCAGTAAATAATCGTAACTTTAAAATACCTATATTTTAATAAGTTTCGGTATTAGCCGAAACAGAGAGCTAGGCCGAAAGGCCGGTTTCGGTTTCAACTGAAAAACTAGTTTCGGTCAGACATTAAAATTCAAGGTATTATTCAAGATTCTATGTGCTTTCAGGTATATCAGCATACTGCATAGTAGTTGTACATAGTTATCATAAAGATATGATGAATAAAGAAATTGAAGGCAAAATTTACAATAAAGTAAACACGGATGAGAATGCTCAAGGAACTACAAATACTCCAAATGTGTAAATAGACTTATATAGCTAAGTGAAATTCCACCTACGCCGTGAAAAAAAGAAGAGAGTGCCTAATACGTCAATCTCAATCTCCAATCATCATCAGCTGTGTTATTCCCAACAAAAATACAAAAAGGGGTATACCCGAATGACAGCATTGAAAAAAAATGCTATATTTATCAGTTGAGGCAATAGGTTGATGTGGAGAAATTAATAAATTGTGATAATATCGACTATACCTATGAATAATCATATTAAATTTAACATTTTATTTATAAATAAGTAAAAAATATAACTTTATCATTATATTTATAAAAATATAATAATTAAACTTTCCATCGTGTATATCTAAAATACATGTATCTGCGTGTACTTATATCGGCTATAGGTACTTATTGCACATAATACATACCTATAATCTGATATATGATGGCCTACATTTAGGTAGATACTATTTGCATCATAAATAACAGTATTTAATAATTTGACTGATAGTAATGTTATTGTATATTATTTTATGTAAATTATAGTATTAAGTTATAATTATATAGTTTTTTATTTCATTAGATGTAATATCAAATGACAGCCCCGATGACGTAGTGTTAGTGGTATATTTCCTTAAAACATGGAAATATAATGTTAGTAGGTAGATACTGTAAAAAAGAAGAAATTAATTTGTTTTTTGTTTTTTAAAAGGATGTCACAAAAGCTGTCTAAATATAATAGTTGTTCTGTAAAGACGTAAAATTCTTTTATTCCAATTTTCCTCGTAAAACCCTTCAGGTTATGGGCTATCAGAGCAAATAATAAGTAAAAATAAATAATATAGAATAAAAATAGTGTAGAACAACAGTAAAAATATTAAAATGGCAGTCGCAACGGCTGAAGAAATTCACCGAATTTGTCTTTTGGACGATGTCACTTCCTTTCAGCTATGGAAATTTGAAATAAAAATTCTTCTCGAAGCAAAAGGTCTATTACAATATATTGATAATGCAGACAATACTGAGAAAAAAAATACAAACAGGTAAAGACGCTATGACAAAACATATTATTCTGCAAAGTGTATCAAAAAAGCATAAAACTCAATTGTTCCAATGCACAACTGCATACGAAATGTTTAAGGTACTATGTGATGTTTTTGAAGGCACAGAAGAACGAAAAAAAATGAATTTGCTTCAAGATTTTTACAACTATAAATTTGAAAATGACATATCCATGGATGAAAATTTTACAAAGCTTGAAAATTTAATACATAGACTGACACAATTAAAAATGCCATTTGACGATGCAATGATAGAATCTAAAATACTAAACATTCTTTCAAATATAGACAACTACCAATCTTTCGTAACAGCTTGGGAAAGTACTCCTAAAGAAGAAAGAACTCTAAAGAACTTAAGAATAAGATTAGTAAAAGAAGAAGAAAGAAAAAATGAGAATATACAATCAGTGGCCCTAGCTGCTGAAAATAAAGGTAGAATGCGTAAAAATACAGGTAACGGTCAGGCATCTAGCTCGTATTCTACTAATATGTGTTTTAAATGTAATAAGACTGGTCATATAGCAAAATTTTGCAGGAATTTTTTATTTTGTAAAATTTGTAAGAAATCAAATCATAAAGAAAAAGATTGTTTTTTTCGGAAAAATAAAAACGAAAATAAAGTTGCGCTCTTAGCCGCAAGTAACAATGTTATAAGTGAGAGAACAAATTTTGTTCTTGATTCTGGTTGTACCGTACATATGGTCAACGATAAAACTTTACTCTCAAATATTAAATCCAAATCTGTCTGTATGTTGGTAGCTAAAAAAGATGCGACTATGGTATCACAATATGTAGGTGATTTTATAGGAACAGAATGTGATGTAACGAACGTTTTATGTGTGCAAGACCTTTCTCGTAATTTACTATCTGTTCCAGAGATTGTTAAAAACGGTGGTACCGTATTATTTGATAGACATGGCGTAAAAATTCGGAACAGTGGTAAAATAATAGCTGGTAAAAAAGAAGATTCCGGCTTATTTGTAGTAAAACTGGATAAACAAATAAAATTTGAAGAACAGGCATACTTGTCTAATGAAGAAAATGAAAACTCAGCTGAAAATTGGCATAGAAAATTAGGACACCCAAGTGAGAAAATTTTAAAAATTTTACCTGATGTAGTAAATGGCGTAAAAATAGAAAATAAAAAAGGTATGATGATGAGTTGTAAAGTATGTATAAGAGCCAAACAACCAAGGTTACCATTCAAAACCGTAAGAACTAGAGCAAGTAAGAAACTTGAAATAATACACACAGATATTTGTGGCCCTTTACAAACGGAAACGTGGAATGGTTATAGATATTTTTTAACTGTTTTAGATGATTATAGCCACTACACTAAAGTGTATCTCTTAAAATTTAAGGACGAAGTTACAACATTTTTAAAGAATTTTATTGCAGAAGCAGAACGAGAATCCAATTTAAAAGTTGTTACAATTCGTTGTGACAATGGTGGTGAATATACTTCACACAATTTTAAAAGTTATTGCATTAAAAAGGGAATAAAATTAGACTACTCTGTACCATACTGCCCACAATTAAACGGAAAAGCCGAACGTCTAAACAGAACTATACTCGAAAAGATTCGTTCTTTGCTATACATGTCTGAAATGAAAAAGGAAATGTGGGGTGAAGCTCTTTATTGCAGTGTATATCTGCTGAATCGATTACCAAGTGAATCAATAAATAATAAAATACCTTTTGAACTATGGTATGGAAGGTTACCAAATCTTTCGAATGTTAGAGAATTTGGGTGTGATGCATTTGCAAAGATATTGCCACCTAGTAAGAAATTGGATGCTAGAGCAGTAAAATATAGAATGATAGGATATGCAAATAATGGATACAGACTTTGGAATGATATAAAAAGAAAAGTTATTGTAGCCCGAGATATTACTTTTGTAAAAAGAAACATTAAAAATGATGATAGTGAAGTAATACAAAAACAAGAAAAAGTAAATGTAAATACATACTTAAATGAAAAGGAAAATAAAAATAACAAAATAGTAAAAACTGAAATAAACAATGAAACAGAAGAAATAGATCAAATAGAAAAAGAAAACAATGAGGAAATTAACCCACGATTGTTTGAAGACAATTTTGTAGTAGGATCTACTTCTGAAGAAATAACAGATCACACAGAACCAGAAGAAAGTCTGGAAAAAAGGACAAGAAAGCTACCAGAAAAATATAAAGACTATGTTTTGCTAACCTACGAAGAAGTATTAAAAAGTCCTGAAAAAGAGAAGTGGGAAAGGGCAATCGAAAGTGAACTAAATTCTTTAGAAGAAAATAATGTTTGGAAAATAGTAGATAAATCTGAATCATATGGTCATAAAATATTAACTAATAAATGGGTATTCAGAATTAAAGAAGATGGTAAATACAAAGCAAGATTAGTCGTAAGAGGTAATGAACAACAAGACGTAGACTACGACGATATATTTAGTCCAGTTGCATCGCAGACCGCAATAAAAACATTGTTCGCTATTGCCGCAGCTAAAAACTACAATATTATGACGTTTGATGTAAAAACAGCCTTTCTCAATGGTAAGTTGCGTGATGATGAACAGGTATATATGAAAATTCCTAAGGGAGTTCACTGCGATTCTAAAAATAAAGTATGTAAATTAGTGAGGTCGTTATACGGACTTAGACAATCTCCAAAAAGGTGGAATGAAAAATTCAACGAAAAAATAAAAGAATTGGGATTTAGTCAAGTAAGAAACGAACCTTGTATTTATAAAAATCAAGAAATGTCAGTTCTTTTAGCTATATATGTTGACGATGGACTAATCATTGGTAAAGCAGAAGACTTAACACAGTTGTTGTTTAGACTAAATGAGAAATTCGAGATTACATCGTGTTCTGAACCTAAGTGGTATTCGGGTATGGAATTAAAAGCAGATAATGTAGGATGGCATCTAACACAAACTGAATACACCAAATCACTTTTAAAGAAGTTTAATATGGATAAGTGCAAACATGCCCAGACACCCGCAGGAGAGGGAGAAGTAGAGTGTGACAAAGAGGAAAAGTTGATATACCCTTATAGAGAAGCTGTAGGCAGTCTCCTATATTTGTCAACAAGAACTAGACCGGATATAGCGTTTGCTGTCAATAAAGCTAGTAGAAATATGGAGAATCCTCAGAAAAGGGACATAGTAGCAGTTAAAAGAATCTTTAGATACCTTTCCGGTACCATAGAGGATGGTTTGTGTTACAGGTTCGATTCCAATCTTAAGTTAACATCATTTTGTGACTCTGACTATGCGGGTGACTTAGAAACTCGGAAAAGTACTACAGGATATGTTATTAATCTTGGTGATGGACCAATTGCCTGGTGCTCAAGAAGGCAACCTATAGTAGCATTATCTTCTACAGAAGCGGAGTTCATTGCGGCAGCAGAGTGCTGCAAACATACTATGTATATCAAGACGCTTTTAGGCGAACTAAACGCTAAACCAGAAGACGTGTTATTTAAAATAGATAACCAAAGTGCTATTGCTTTGATTAAGACGGGCGTATTTAATAAACGGTCTAAGCACATAGATGTTCGTTACCACTATATCCATGAATTGTATATAAATAATGAATTTAGCATTGATTATTGTCCAACAGAACTGCAAATAGCAGATATATTTACAAAAGCCTTAAATAAAATAAAGTTTGATAAACATAAATTCTCTCTGTTAAGGCGAAGTACTTGTTAAGTTAGTTTCGTATATTATTAATTTTATCATGTACTGTAGTTATAGAAATAATTCTCACGCGTGTGAAAATTAGAAGAGAGTGTAAAAAAGAAGAAATTAATTTGTTTTTTGTTTTTTAAAAGGATGTCACAAAAGCTGTCTAAATATAATAGTTGTTCTGTAAAGACGTAAAATTCTTTTATTCCAATTTTCCTCGTAAAACCCTTCAGATACTAGTACAGTAGATAATATTAAATATCTAAATAAATAATCCTTAATTGCCAGATTATGGTTAAACACTTTCGAAAAGGTAAAAAAAAGTGTAGGTACTTTCAAATTCTTCACTAGGAATGACTACGATTCTTTCCATTAAGAATAGCATACAATGGTATACATATGGCTGCCAACAAAACTAATCTATAAAACGGCTTAACCGATTTGAATGAGGTTTTCATTGACTATTATTTATTACATACTAGAAGAAAGTTAAACTGTTCTAAAATATTCGAAGTTAAAATAGTACTTTAGTAAAAATAGCATAAATTTGTGGCTGACCAATTTGTTCTGTGATTATAATAAATATGTCGTTATTTATCGCATATTAAATGGCAAATACAACAAATTTTCTGGTTCTGTTTATCCTGTAAAGGAAAAGCAAAGGGCTCTGTGTCCATACAGTCATGTCTGATGTTTCAAATACGGCAGTTGATTTATGTTTGACAACTGTGGAATGTCAACTCAACGACAAATGTCATTGTGAGAATTCAGAGTAATTCAAACACAGATGTCAGATATTTATTGCGCATCTGAGTGAATAGAAAATTAAGAATCAGAAATCATTGTATTTCTTCGAAAAACTGTAAGTACGTGTATAAAATTATTTTTTGTCTATTACGTGTCCTAGTAACAAATACATTTAGATTGTTATTATGCTTTTCATAATCATATTAATAAGGATCTAATAAATAAACCCATAATAACTAGTGGCTCACCCCTATCTCATCCGGATCCTCATAAATTTGTGAATTTTATGTATATTAACGTAATATATAGGATATTTTATTCTGAAGTGATGTACTTAACAGACATAGAAAGAATTTATGAAATTAGTGTTCGGTTTTAGTTTAATATCCTCGTTACAAAATCTCTGTAAACAATGTCACTATAATATTAGTACAGATTAAATAATATTTGTTATTGTGAATTATATTTTAATTTTACTTGCCAGGTAGCTTATTGTGTCAACATAGATTACTTACTAGGATATTATATTCAACATATGAGACAATAAAATATTATAGTACATTTACAGACTAGAAATGTTAGGTTAGTCAGTTATATGGTTACAATAGCTATTTACATTTAGCTTACTTATTTACCTTATAAATACTGTCTACTTAATTTTGTACTGTAATGTTTCTGATAAAACACTTCTGTTATTTATCTATGTTATCTAAAATTCTTATCAATTATTTATCATTAAGTTTAATCATGAAAAGACAGAATTATTTTGCTGTGACATAAAAGTATATTGGTTTCAAATATTTATTAATAATATTCGATAAAAATTCACACAGTGCAGAAACTTTTTTTGTAAATACATTTCAAAACACCCAGACTGATACAAACAATTATACACATTTGTATTCAAAGCCTCAACTATCACAAGTAAAGTTATGTGCTAAAACACTAGACTGTGGAGGCTGTTAAAGTAAAATAATAATAGCCTTCAGTCAGACAGTACAACTTTTTTTATTATTAACTAATTCTACTAATTTTATTGACATCCAATTTATATGCCACTGTGTCCCATCTGTGTCCAGTATTCTCTAATACAATCACAGTATTACCATTTATTATTGTTACCATTTGTATTTGTAGTGTTGTGTTCTATTCAGACTGAAGATGACGCTGAGTCAGTAGTCTGTGTCTGCAATAACCTGTGTTAAATAAAACTCTTATTCTGTACTTTTTGTATATATTTGTTTTTAAAAGAATTCTACTTATTGAAAAAATTTAAAAAATTATCTTTATTGTACCTTTCACAAAAAAAAAAACTTAAACTCATATGTATGCAAATATTAATAAGATACAGAGGTAACACTGGGAGGTCTTATTGCTAAATAGTGATTTCTTCCAGGCAACCTTAGGATGGAGAGGAGTGATTAGTCCTTGGAATCTGCATGAGACAACAATAATTACTCTTAAAAGTATTATTAAATACATATTAATTATTATTATATGCATATATAAACCTATGTATAAATAAATAAAAATTATTACGACTTGTTGGGATTAGAGAGTGATACAACATCAAGTGTTTTCAGATAATAGACAATACAAACAATTTTAAATATTTTCACATAACACATTAAATATTCATTCATGTAATCTGAATTTGTTTTTGCATGGTACTGCTACACAATGTATAAATAAATAAGTATAATATTTTAAGAATATTGCACTTAAATGTTTATACTGTAAGTGTGATTGTCTGAAAATAATCTTTCTCTTGAAATACTGTAGATGATGTATATCATGCGGTGGAATAGATCTTCACTTTGTATGATATTAATAATATGATACCAAAGTAGATTTAAAGAAATAACTAAATGTTTAAGTAAGTTTAAAACCAACTAATTGTAAATTAGTTTTGTACTTTACAGTTTTTCATACTGGTGATTTAAAAAATATATATTACTAATATTATAAATGTAGCAGTAATGCAGCGTTAGCGAATGGTCAGGGAATTGTGGAGAAAGATGATTAGTCTAGATTAAGTCTGGGCAGTTAGCCCATCATGACATATTTACCAGAAATTAGCCTCAATGCTTTCCAGAGGGACCTGTGTAGTGGTGGAATGGACTGTGTAAATTGGAATTGTAAAGTACTTCTACTTTATATAGCAGTGAATATTCCCTGTTTAGGGGCAAGGGAATTATTAGTAATGTCGTGTAATGATTAGCTAGAAATGAATCATGTTAGGTTGACCTACACTTACCTGCTGTTCCCTCTGGAAGCTGTAGTGATAAATTCCCGCTGAATTTACCACGATGAGGTAAATGATCTGACTGACATGTTCATGGGGGGAGCACAATTCCATTGTATTCCAATTAAAAAAAAATTGTAAAATGTACATTATTATTAATTTTGTTATATTTTTATTAATCAACTTCATAAAATTTTTACTTATATTTATAATTAATATATTATTTTAGCAATTCTATACTTAATTACTTCTATTTTTATAGATGTCATTAAATGAAAAATTATTGTCCTTACAAAATCTAGCTTTTTTAATTGTATTTCTCAATCAGTAAGTTACAAGAATACAATGGAATGACCTTGATATGTTCAAGTATCGTCATTGAACGGGACTACATCGGCGTTGGCCCAAGTCACGAGATTACACGACCTACAATGTTAGTTAGTGCAAAATATAATAGTACACAGATTTTAGTCTTCAACTGATACTATCAAATTCATTATAATTAATAAATAAAAAAAATACTCTATATAATAACCTATTCTTAAAATTTATATGGGCTGTATTTTATATTTTATTTTATTTCACAATTAAATACTATATATACGACGCCAGGACAATAATTATATATTTTTTTTTGTAGTAGTTAATTAATTATCATTAATTTATTAGAATGTTATACGTGAAATCACACCGTCTTAATCCGCAGAGTTAAAAAATTATATCATTACAAAGTTATGTTATCGACTATATTCAATATCACGATAATACGTGATAGTAAACTATGTACTAATAGTGGTAAGAATTTCATTACATAAATGTAATGTTGGCAATATAAATAATTTCTTTCTGTAATTTTTAACCCTTTTTTGACAATCGCTTTTAACTTGGGCGTAGGATAATTATTCACCACTTTAAAGACATTCTATAAAGACATGGTTTGTGTAGTTTTCCTTTTTGTATGCACTTGTTTGCAAGTTAATTCGCTGACTGAAGACCGGAGATGACGGACGATAACCTGTGAGTTCTCACTACCTTTACTAGTTTTGCGTTGTTTCATCTTTGTGCGACTATAATGAGTTTAATTGATCTAAGTATATGTATTTTTTTAGGCTTGAATATAAAAATAAAAATTAAGTTGTCCCAAATTATATTATAGTTATTAAAATTAAAACATTATACAAGAATTTATAGATTTTTTAAGATGTTGCTAATTATAAAACACTAGACAATAGTTTATAACGGTTTTACTAGGTATATATGTTTAAATAAGTTAGAATATCTTCATTACTGAATGGAATTGTATTATTGGAACTTAATGGGCTGCCAGAAAATAACACCTAATTCGATGAGCAATAAAATAAAATATCTTCAGCTCGATAATTTAGATATTCTGTATGCACCTTTCATTTACTTATTAAAAAATATATAACGAAACTTCTTGTGAGATGGACAGGTTTGGCTTTGCGCAGGCAAATATGTTTTTGATAGAACATAGAACAGTACAGTATTTTTAAAGTACCTATTATAGTGGGATGCTTCCACGGAAGAGTTTTAGTGTAGTAATTGTAATAACATTTATTATAGACATAATAGTTACCAATCATATACATAAAGATAAAAAATGGGGACGTAGACCGTAAGAGAAAAAATAAAAAACAATATATTCTGGACATGTACAAACTATTATTAAACTGTCCTCCCAAAGTGCCAATTATTCCTCTTATGGATGATAAAGGAATGGTGCACCCGCCTGCGCTAAAGGTTTAAGCTGGTGAGGCACCAGTGAATGACGATAAGATGAGCATGAGGTCAGTTAGCCCATCGTGGTAACTTCACCATAAATTTATCACAATGATTTCCAGGGAATAATGTGGACGTGAACCTAATTTGGTACATTGCTAGCAATACGATTATTATAAACTTCCCCCCGAGTGCAAATTATTAAAATACCATTCTGATCACCTGGATGAATGGCAATTCTCCCCGTTTTTCTACATTTTTTTGGCATTCTGTGCCACATTGTTGGATCAAGTCCAAACAGTATTTACCACCAACCAACGATCAATATGATGCTGAAACTTTCAAGAAGACAGCATCTTTCTGATGTATACGTGATGCATATATTGTTTTTATTCAATAGTAATAATCTATTGGAGAATAGTTTCGAGTAGCCCGTTATTAGGGCTTTTGAACGTACTAATCCTAGCATATTCTGCCAGTGATGAAAGTGCTTCTCGTTTGGTTATTATTTTGAGATGTCCCAGTTTTAGGAAACGAGGCACAGAAAGGTTCAAGGCCCTGTTTCAGCAGTTTTTGTCCCTAAACTTTGCCAGTTGGTCAGCATTTTCGTTGCCATCAATATTTAAATGTCCCGGAACCCAGCTCAATATTATTTCTGCTTCCTACTTCATTTAGTAGCGAGGAACAATCTATCTGTTGCGTGTAGTGAGTAATTACCACGGCTCATGGGTGCATGGAGGGTGGTTATTACTCACCATCAGGTGTGGCGCGAACACCGTTTGCCCTACAAACAAAAACATGTCAGCCTGCATATTATATGCTTGTGTTGCTGCTTCTGTTGTACAAATTATTTGATTATTTCAGACCCCGTTCTGGTGCTGTAGAAGATATGAGTATGGGTATTAATTTGCCATACGTGACGTCATTCTGCTGTTGTCTGGACCTTGGGGTTGGCGCCAAGGTCATAGGATATCTACATCTGGTAATTACATTTCAATAACTATAATTCGACTACGGTAGATATTTTTACATAATCATACATGGGAATTTCAGCATCTTGAAGATTCGCATGTATGATTCGATTCGGTTCGCATTTTACGCTGTTTTCTGGTTTATAGCGTGAGATGAGACAGAAATTACTGGATACAGAGGTAACGTTTTAGTCACGAATGGCAGCATTTAAGAGTGAATCATGAGGATACGATTACTGTGGTGTTGCTCATGTTTTATGATTATGGCCGCCGCCTTATTAATGATGGTCGCCGGTTCGATTTCTAGGTACAAACATTTGTGCATGATTGTTTATATCTATCTTGGTCTTCTCTATGTAAATCATGTATGTATTAAAATAAAATGTATCTCTGTATTTATATCTGTTGTCTAGAACCCATAACACAAGCTCTACTTTGCTTGGGAACAGATGACCCTAAGTAAATTGTCCTGATATATTATTATTACAATTACTTGGTCTTATATTTCAGATTGTTTCTCTATCGCTGACAGCTTTGAGCGCGCTGATTACCTCTGAAATCCACGATAAAGTCGACACCGTCGAAGACGCAGAAGACCATGTATACACTGCTGCGTACCCCAGCGCCTTGGCGGCCACTATTTCCTCCGTCGTTCATGTATTGCTCGCTTTATTTCTACTCCTGTCTACTTATAAGGTAAATTTACATTTACTAAGTAAATCTATCTAATGATAATGTTTTTATAGAAAAACTTTAGTTTGTTTGTCAGGCGGAATTAATAATACAATTGCTTGAAAATATGCCGTGCTTAAAAAAACATGGTATTGTAGATTTATACAAAAATAGTCTGTTCTAGTAACTGACACAAGCTTAATGGATATATACTTAGAGGGTAATGCAATATACCTACCTATTATGATTTGTAAAAACTTAAATTTCATAGTGCTCACAATATTAACAAAGAATGAGTGCATAGCGGTTTGTATGTTCATTATCACATGCCTCCTACTTATTACTATGTATTTATTTAAAATAACGGTTATTGAAAAGAGCAACATGCAAGTTTCTTGCTTGTTCTTGTCTGCTTGATGAATCTGCGTTCCGAATGAGTGGTAGAATAAAATAAAATACTATTCAAAAGTACTTATATTGAGTTAATTTAAATAAAGATTATTTATATTTCTATTTAACTTGTATTAGAATTTGTACAAAGTCGTTTGTTGGTGTACTTTTGTCTCATCTATTTTTGCAGATATGCTTCCTTTGTATCAAGTACATTCTCGACTGATATCCAGTTTGGATAGTCAGAGGTATTGTCAACTGCTTGTATTGAGCATTGAGCATGTTATGAGTATAGATATTTTTTTAAAATAAATACATAATATATATATTTAGAAAACAGCTAGATTAACTACTCTATGTGATCTACTCATAAATGCACATGTTTGCATCGATAATGGAATCAAACCTGCGCCCATAAAGGAGCGAAGCGATGTCCTAAAACTACCTATATTCTGACTTTGACATTTTCTTGCAGCGGTGGTGTACCGGTCTTCGTACGTGGGTGTGGATAATGTTGGTGCTATGGATGGGAGGTTTGCTGTTTATTGTCGTCTCCACCGCAATCTCAGGCTTCTCCGACTCCGGCTCGCATGTGTTCATCTCTTTCACGTTGAGTGCTATGTTTCTCAGTAAGTTACATTTTTTATTTCTTTATGAACAAATTATTACCTGACGAAAAGTGGTAACTGCCTATAGACATGAACTAGAGCAAAGTTGGATCACATGTCCATCCATCCATCCATTTCAACGGGGATTCAATAGTCGTATACGAGGGCCTGTGCCGATGTTCGAAATCCTAATGGTGACCGCAGAATTATGTGGTGACATATGTATATTCATTACCAAAAAGACAGGAGAAGTGACGCGCAACAACTAGTTCTTGATAAGTGATCATAATGGGGACGGTCTGCTAGTACCCCTGAATTTACTTACACTGTTATATAATGACTTTTAAAATCTTTATATGATAGCGCAAGATGTCAAGCGCGCGATATAGTTTTTAAAATTCCTAAAATTATTAATTCTTCTGGGCAATTATCTTAATTTTTCATTCTATATCTACTTTCCGTACCTTCTGTAACGTATTGTTATAGATATACGATAAAAAAGATGAATGAATTCAATTCTGTTCTTTGCAATTGATTGTGTGACCAAGAGAAATAGGAATTCCATTTTATCCCGACGGTCTCGGTGGTCTTGCGGTTTAAGACACTGCCTTACTTCTAACAGTGGGGATCAATGGCATAGTAGCCATTTTTAGTTCGAAAAACGGATTTAGATGGCGTCATTGGTATCGAATGGAATTCAACATTGTTTTGTAATCGTTTAAAACCCAAAACTATGTTTTTAAAAATGTTTAATCTATTTTTAAAAAGTCATATATAGATGTTAAAATGAAATAATGCGTTTCGAAAAGTAATTTTCATATATTTACTCATTTTGTTGTTGCCCTGTATTTGTTTACAATTTAATCATTGCTAATTGGGGCTTATTGTTTCCAAAATACTTTCATAGATGGCGCTGTTTTCATTTGTTTCACCGTATTTTAAATGTTTATTTTATATTTTCAAATAATAAGTACTTACTATATTATTATGATAAATTAAACATAAAAAAAGTTTAAGTAAATATAAAACAGCTAAACAAGAAAACCATATTATTCCAGTAATACTTATTTAGAAAGTGTTGCCATATTAAAAATAAATGCATAGATTTATCGATTTTTTCGAATAATCGATAACAGGATATTACAACGCATTATTCGATGGTGCTTTTAATTAGTCTTTGCAAACAGTAAAATTTCATCATTTTGTATTATACTCTTATTTGGAACGAATTGCAATGCATAATTTTTACTCGACGACGGTAAAATAGAGAGATTTTGACAGGTATGCAAGTACTATATATTTATCTGTTCGCTCATAACTTCGAAACTTGAAGAGGGAAATATTAATTAGATTGATCTGATATAAGTGTACTCTATTATATCAACCTCCACGCGGTCACCCTGGTAATTATAGCAATTAATGACATTAGTGACATAGTTCTTCTATTAAAAAAAAAAATACCTACTTATTGTAATTTAATGAATGAGAATTGAATGTGGTATAGAGTATATAAGGTCAGCTATACCTTTATGAAACCTCAATAAACAAGTGTTATATGGTATCTAAATTACTGACATTGATAGCTAAATATGAGGATCCTCGAATTTTTTAAAATACTCATAAGAAACTTTACAAATACTCGAATTTTGCTTTTGTAGAAGGATATTTTCAACCTTACTAAATTGTACAAGGTTTTGAAACGATAATCATTCATAATACTATGATATATTACTGATCTTAGTACCTACTATTCATGATAATTAGTTTTTTAATATCTCCATTCGAGGGTAGGTTATTCATAATTTATATTATTAGATTTCATCACAAATAAAAATATCGATTTTAAATCGTAGGTTGGTCCATATTTTTTTATTATATCGAAATGACAACGAGTACTGGCAACATACATGAAATATTAAAAATATAAAATATAGGAATAAAAGAATAGGATAAACGACTTTAAGTCAAATGCTTAAAACATATTTTCACTAGCATTGGATTTTTTCTCTTTTTTCATCATTTAAGTTAAGTAGGTACTTCAACTTTTGAATTGTTCCTGTTCAGAGTTCATTGAACTTCTTAATTTTTTGTTAAACTCAATAATTTAAATGTGTCTAAGGACTACTACAAATATTTAGTAAACTATCGTGTCTTTGAGGATTATCTCATACCAGGTATAACTATAAGTTGTTAAAAACTTGCATATGTATGCGTGTGTATCTTTCATATTAAAATATAATAAACATAGGTACTTGGTGACCGCTTTAATGTGGTATTATTATGTTTTTATTATTGTTATGAATGTAACTTCAAAAAACTAACACTGATTTTATAATTTTTGATTGATTGAGAAAATACTGAAAATTATTAATCAAAATAAAGTACTAAACAGTAGTATTATTTTTATATTTTATTAGAACTGAATGAATATGATGTATGAATAATATGTTTATTGTGCTAATAAGGTTAGTTTAGTTACTTTCATGTAAGTTCATGAAAATGTAACATGGTATATGATATTGTTTTCAGATTTTCCTGACATCAACAACTTAATACTGAACAAAGTTTAAACAAATAAGAGATGATATTCTAAATCTCCTAGTCATTCAGATGAAGATAAATAACATTTTTACTGTGAAGAACAGGAGTTATAGAAATATAGATATATAGAAATATATATATATATATATATGAACATTTTACTGTATAAAATAATAATGCAAGTAAAAATAAGAGAAAAAAGCAGAAGAAAAATCTGTAAATTATTAATCACAATGCAATTAATAATATAATTAAATAAGTAAGAAAGCAACGGACTAGTGATGAGAAGAAATTCCAAGTAATTGTATTATGTGTAACCGACTGCAAATAAGTTTATGATTTAAGCTCATGATTATTATTATATTGCTTCATCAACAAATCCAGGAATATTATGTGTACCAGGAATTAATTATGAAATGATTTTGATGAAATATTATGTCTTGATATTGATTTATTTGGAATATAATATAAAAATAACAGAAGTGTTTGAAGTTTTAGTGGTATAACAGACAAGCAGTGAAAGAAATATTATTGTAAATTATTAACAATTGTTTATTCTGTGATTAATAAATTATTAAAAAGTGTTTTATTACCTGAAATAAAAATGTTATGATCTTCAAGTGTTGTGTTCATGCAATGTTAGTTTCACCTCATTCGATTTAAAATGTCAGGAATTATTTACTACATAATGATTTTGTATTAGATGGTAATCATATATATTTTTTAATGCAATGTGTATAATAATTCCCATTTACATCAAAAAACTTTGTGTAAATCTATATTTCTCTGTCTATAGACTTTGGTCGTGGAATACTAATAAGAAACAAAATCTAGAGACTGTAGTATATCAGAGTATCCCAGAACCTTGTATTTAAGTCATATAAGGACTTAGTACCTACCTAATACTTGCTACTTTTTTAATCAATTAATTAATTTGATCTCAATCATCATGATGAACAATGATGATAATGTTGAGAATACTGCCAATAATGAATTTTATGGTGGTCATAAATAAATACCACCGTCACTATAGTCAACAGTCATTATTGATCTCATCATCATCACCGTTACCCTCCTTCATCCATATTGTCAAAAGTTACTACCTACTATTATTAACTGAAATGGTAAATAAGCTGACGATCCATCCAACCACGACGCTATCCGACGTACATACATACACATATATTATTAAACAGCATTACGTCATCATGTCGTGCCCGCTATATCCCGCATACGTTATCATTCCGGAGAACATAGATGTTATGTCCAAATATCCTGTAATTTCGCAGCTTAATTTCAACTGAATAACAACTTACATGAATACCAAAAAACTAGCAGTAAAGGCGTAGTTTGTAGATATCGAAGGTTCTACAAATAGGTATAACATCAAAATAACCTACATGTCATTAGCACCGATGTAGTATCCCTGAAAGAACCTACATATAACAGATTGATGGTTTGCAGATATTATTTTCAGTTTTACAAATTGCCAGTTTACCATAATTAACTACATATTGAGAAATAATTATACACTGAAAATTATATGAGGTACCCATATGCACATCAATTGATTATAGCTAAAATCTATCACTATCACATAACAATTTAAATTATTAAAATCGGGCTATTCGTTAAGGAGCTATTGCTCCTTAACCGATAGCCCGATTTTAGTGCAGACGCGTTACGACATATCTTCGTCGGGAGAAAAAAAGCCACACATGCCTAATGTAAAAAAGTAACTGTAACATAGTACATAGATACATAGGTACATTAGCCGTGTCTGTAGACTGTCAGCGAACAATATTATACCTACATTGAATTTTCGATTGTACCCAATCAGGAGTTCGATACAGTTATATATCTATTATGTACGTATCTTTGCAAAACAGATGTCATGTAGACCGAATTCTCTGCCATCTATTTTCATGCTTTATTACTAATCACCCACTAGTAATCCGATATAGCGACATCTAGCGCCTACGGTGGCGAAATAAAATAGCCCGAAGAATAGCCCGAGTTAGGAAGGAACCATTTTCTTGTATGGGATGGGGTATCTGTATGTAATATTATATTATCTGTGCTTCTAATGATCGTAGGTTCGATTCCTCGTACGAATCAAACATTTGTATTCATAAGTATAATTATTTGTATTGGTCTGGGTGTTTCGTATGTATATTATATATATATTTATTTTTAAAATATAATTTTATTTAAGTATATTATTTTTCTAATACCTATAACACAAGCGTCTTAACTTAAGACTATATGGCGCTGTGTGGATTGTCCAGTGTTATTATTATTGTAAAGATAGTATTCTTATGAATTCCTAAAAGAATCAGAAACATTTTAATTCAAAACTACCATTCGAGTTTTGAAAAAGAAAATGAGATTTCAAAATATTATTTTAATATTTACAGTGGCCGACGCTTACTTCATTATAACTGTAAACAGTTACTACTTGAAGCTGAAGAGCTCCGAAGACATGGAGGGCCCTGCGAAGGCTGACTGTTGAATTTAGTTGTTGGTAATTGTTATTTATTGTTTTCTATTCTGTTATTGTTTCGTAATAATTATGTTCCATTATTATTTATGATGGTATTGGAAAGGAATGTGGAATAGTAGTTAAACTACGAATTTATGATGTAAGGAAAAGAACTAAGGACATGTGATCTCAGCTGTAAGAGCGCAATTTTATATTTTGTATGAAGTATATGGAGCATTTATGACTACAAAAAAATATATATTTATTGTAGTCATTATAAATATTATATTATATATATTTATATATGAATATTTTTTATTTTTATATAGATATAAATGATTATTGTCGTAACAAAGAGCAATGGCCAATTCTCATACATTAAATTAATTATAAACAAATTGTTCTTAAATTGAAATTAGTAACATTGGGGAGTACGTTACAGAACTGTTATTTACAGAAACTTTGTTTCTTAAAAGTGTAGTTTGAGTATTGAATATTACACTTTTTGTATATGGTGTGTTAGATCTCATAAATGTGATTAATTTTGGTGTAATTTTCATTGAATTGTACATTTTAGGAAAAGAACGAAATCAACTATTTATTTATGCAAAAACGAATGTCATTGTCATTTCATGATAAGAATATAAAACATGAAATCAATATGCAGAATATAATCCGCACACAAAAATGCTGTTTTCTTAATATGAACTAGGATATAAAGTTATCCCATTTTTAAATATTGTATTGTCGTTTTTATTAGACATCATGTAGAGATATTTTTTAACGTTATATTGGAGTTTTATTAAAATAAGGGTTATATAAAGTATAACCTTATTTTGATAAAACCCTGTTTTCCGTATTCACTTGTGTCGGTCACTTCTATATGAATACCATTTAATAAATATTTTTGTCTATTGATGTGTACACGCTTCGCTATTTTACAAATATGTGGATTATATTTTAGTGTCATGTAATATATCGCCAGAAACTACGTTTTTCAAAAAATTTTAGTTGTAGGCAATTATGCTCAAATTTAGCAGCTAGCTGCTGAATGAAATCTTGCTTTAAATTAGAATTTTATGGAGAAATGTCTAGTCAAAATTCAATTTTAGTTTTTTTTTTAGAACGAGTTGTTTCTGTACAAGCTACGGTTTTATATACGATTGTGGTGACCGTATACGGAGATGAAAGTCACAGATAGTATTAATAAAAATTATTTCAAATACAGTACAATCCGGATATAAAGACCCTCAAGGGACCAGCGATATTATGTCATACTAACCGGACGGACAAAACAGGATTCTTTCTGAAGTACATATTATTATAATAGTGAAAGTATCACTTTCCTATTTGATTAATAAAACAGTTCATACTTTACTATAATAATCAAATGCAAACCTCGTAAAGACGAGGTTTGCATTTGATTCACCGACTTCTAAGCGGTGTAACATTGGACTTTTGCTTCAATTGTTAAATACTTTTGTTTCATAGAACTTGTCATAACAGGTGACAAACATTAACTGATATTTACGCGCGCGTCAATAAGGCAGGAAGAAGCGCGCGAGGCCAATAAACGGTATTGGTGCGTAGATTATGTAACCAAAACATCGCGCGTTGTTTTACCTGTACGTATTATCATAAATAATGGTATTAGCAGTTAGTCGCTTAAACCGGGGTCGCACTAAACGGTATAACCGTTTATTTAGTTCCTAACAATGAAATCTAACTAGACAAAACATTATCGTCACTAATATAGGTTAGTGGTTATAAGCGAAGTCGTTATATATGAATTCTACTGTATTTGAAATTCTTGATGTAATACAGTATTGTACTAGGTGAGCGATATATTCTAACGGAATATAAAATATGCTTTAAAAGTCATTATAAGATTGTATTGAGTATTACAACTAAATGTTTTAAATTCAGCACAACTTTAGACCAATCGGTCTTGTGATTATAGCTTATTGTCAATGGGATGTTGTAATTGCCTTGCGAAACTAAAATGTATTTATATAGTGTTTGTAATTTTCTAACTACTTATATATAATATATAGTACTTCCACTCAAATAATGTCCTAAGTAAAAGAAACTATTAATAGTAGTTATACCCATATTTATTGTTTTACGAGTTAATACCGCGACTTCGTTCTATAATATTTTTGTTTTCAAACTGATTGGAATAAAATATTGAATTTAAAATAAAGCTTACCACAATTAATTAGTGAAAACTGCAACCAAATCGGTCATGTTTTTCCTGAGATTAGCGCTTATAAATGCGTATAATGATTTTGCACTAATTTTGTTCCAAAAACCAAAAAGAGACAAATAACTGTAGGATACTTTTGAAATTTACTTTTTTACACGCTAGTTTCGCTTTTACTTGTGAAACTATTAGAGTGGAGGTGTGGAGGTGTTTAAAAAAGACAATTTTATACTAATATGCATTATTCTAATTCTTATTAGAATTTTATGGAAAAAGTCTGCAGAGCGTTTTAATAATATTATTATTAATTAGGCAATATTCTTAGGTGTAATACGATATTTATTAAGATATATTCCTTGAACTAGGTGCACAGTCAATGTATTGTTTTTTGACTCACTTTGACTGTATAAGCTTCAGTAGTAGGTGTTTTTTGATCTCACGAACGAAGACAATCTTCAAATATGGTAGACACAATTTTTAACATTAGGAAATATATTTTAAATATTATATGTATATATATATATATATCTTTTATATTGTATAATAATTTGTTCTGACTGATTCACAAACGCACGGATTAAACCACAGAGGTTACAAACTTGAATCCGACTGAAGTTAAGCTTTTATGATATTTATGTTGAACTATTGACTCGAATATAACTGATTTATTTGCATCTCAATATTTTCTTATACATTATTATTAAACATTATAAATGTAGTTAAACGGGTCTTAAAAAGAATGATTGTATGGTGAATAAACTTATTTATTCTCCTTACTTGATGTTTCGATTAGGTTGAAAGCAAGATTTATATTAATAATGTATATTAAACACGAAATAATAAAAAATAACTATGTATTACAACTTCTAAATGAAGTAAGGATATTATATGTATAATAATAATTAAACATAATTTACCGTAGAAGTTTTTAGAATGATTTACACTGTATTAAATTTTTTTGTAGATTCAATAAATAAAGACTATTATTTAAGACTTTCGACTGTATTAATAAGATTAATATAAGTCACGTGCTACCTACAATTTTTATATTATAATATGGAAAAAAGTTATTTGAAAATTAATTCTCAAATAATTGAAATGTAATTATCTATAAGGTCTTCTATATGCCTTTCTTATGTCAATGGAATGGTAACGAGATCTGATGCAGTTTGAAATAGGTGAGACGGTACCCACGCAGAGTTTGTATCTCGGGTTTTACAATTTTTATATGGTTTTTGTATTTGATTATGAATATCATAAGTCAAATAGTTCAAGCATTTTTAAAATTAATATATCCAGATTGCTATTTTATAAAAGACATTTATAAATGTATATGATGTGTAAAATGAATATAAACTAACACAAGCATTAAAAAAAATACAGAGTTTCGAAAAATGATGTATTAAATTTTAAATGAAGTTGGTAAATGCATATATATATAACAATTTTAGCATTATTCTTACCCAGAGTACTATTTTAGAAAATATTTATTAATATTTTTAAACGATAATTGTGATTTCAGATTGTGCTGTAATTTGCATATAAATTTAGACAGAGATGTTAAATAAAACTAGTGTGTGATTTATACATTTTTTTATTTATTGGAATAACCTTAGACATTACGGTATCGTCCCACTCAATTCGTTTATTCAATAAATATATTACAATTCTATTGTAAGTACCATATTGTTAAATCGTCGCCAACCAGTTTTATTTTAGACAACAAATTTAATTGTATTATATATGCATAATACAAACGCTTGCGCACATTTTAGAGTTTTTGTTCGATATTTTCCGTGGCGTACATAATTGTACTTTATTGTGTGGTATTTTCAGGCATTAAAATCCGCTTATGATTTTTACTAGTCCCTGCGGCAGGCCTTAAAAGAATTGATAACAGGCGCAAATAGATACTGTATTATTCTTATTTTGCATCTTATAACAGTTAGATAGGACTCATAATTCATTAACAGCGACTTTATAAATTTTTAATAAATATAAATGGTAATGTCAGTTATGGAGGCTTCCTGATAGTACAGTACGGTTAGATGGACAGATGTGATATTTTTTTAATAAAGTACGCGCCACATTATTTTCTGATAGTGCAACTTAATATGTCAAGGAATGTCTATAATCATTTAAGTATTTTATGATTTAATGCATTAAAAAAACATCCTATCTTTCCTTTTTATTATATTAAATTTACTTAAATGACAACATCTGTTGAATGTATTCGATGTATGGTTTTCGTTTATCTTATTTTAATTAAAGTATATAACAAATTGGGATGTTGCATTTACATGATTTTATTCTTTTTAATAGAAATTATTTTAGATGGATATTCAAATAGTAAATACATCTTAGTCCGTCTAGACACTGATCGATGGTAGATATTTATATTTATTTACATTAGATTAATAGGTAAGTAGGTACTATAGAAAATAACTGGAGAGGATATTTTTTATTAAACCACAATTTTTTATATGGCGCACTGTTTAATTATTGAATCTTATTTATACTATACGATCTGTAGTATGGTGCCGTTGACAGTTAAAATTATAGTTTTTATTTACAATAATATATTTGAAATTAAAGCAAGCCTCAATGGAGATAAATAGTCATCAATTATTATAATGAATTAGTAAAAGAAACCTACTGAACGACTGTCACTCGTACCATACTATGACACGCAATGTATTCGATGGTTATATGTAATCATAGATTTTTTTATGATAGTTTTAATACATTTTCCATGGAATAGATTTGGGTTATATGCTTAAGATATATCTTGACATTGGAGTTTAAATGGAATTAAATCGTCAATGTACAGCATACGACATACGTAGTTTACTATATTATGTGTCTATATTTATTAAAGTTTAGGCAAGTATTATACATATATTGAGATGTATAAAGTAAAACGGTCTACACACTGCACTAAAATCAGGGGAAATACTTCTAACTTTGTCTTATTTTATACTATATGATTACTATAGGGAGCGTCCTGTGCCTTAATGCCCCTGATTTTAGACACGCGTGAAGCCCGTTTACCAGTGAAACAAATTTTCGTTGTCGACGAAATATATTTCTCTATTTTAAATGCAAATCTTGGAATGCAACTTGTAGGTATACCTACAGTCAGCATTGGTATACTAGACAATATAGAAATAAATATGATTAATTTTTACTACTTAATTAAATTTCACAGTTCGAAATGTTACACTTACACTACGGGACATGTAACTTCTAAGAATAAGGTTTAATTTAAGTGCGGGGTATCTTTATACAATCGCTAACACAACTCGGCTACACTGATAAATACTTAACCAAAGGTATTGCACGAAAAACGGGAATTATTTAAATATTCTACGAACTATAATGTACATAATTACACTTTAAATATGGAATAGTTTTTACAGAGTTTATCATGTCGCATAATACGCTCGTTATAATGAAATCGCGTTTGACTTGGTATGTCATGTGATAACAACGACACTAAAAGTATTCACTGCCCACAAACATCTATATAATAGGTTTCGTACCGACGAGCAGTTTGATCTAGCACGTATTATTTGTTGTTTAGTATTTGACAAATACGAAGCGGATAGCTTAGGCTTCAAACCAAATTACCTATACATGCTTGACTCAAGCTGCTTAATAGTCAACGAATTCCTTAACATTGTAAGTCATTACGGTTCCTCCGGTACTAGTAAAGGTTGTGCGACGTGGTCGCAGTGTCGGCGCGTCAGTAGAGGTGCGCAGGATGTGGATGCGACGAGTGTGGTGGGTGTGGAGTATGCGGCGGGTCCAGGGGCGGGGGTTCAGTGCCGACGTCAATGTCAGTAGGGCCATCGTCGTCCACCGGCACGCCGCTTGCACTTCGAGAGAGACCTCGCACCTGAAATTTCAGTAATTTGAAAACACTTCATCCTGATCCAAGAGTAGTATTACCAGGTAGGTTTATTTATGAATGGAATGTTTGCTTTAATAAAAAAAAGAACATCGAGATAGACCTTGGTTAGTCATCTGCGAATGTACCTGACGTATTTAGCGTAGCCTACAAGCAGCTTGGTTTATAAGATGTGTTTCGAATGAAGTGTGAGATGACACAGATAAATTACAGTATAAAAAGATATTACACGACTTGACGACGTGATGTTCGTGGTGATTGTATAGTATTAGGTGGTCCATCTGCTTGTTTGCCATTTCAGTTAAGTTGGGAAGGATCTAACTCAAGTTTACCTGTAGCAGTAGATTATTGGATAGGATCCGGGCCTGGTGTTCTTGCGCTTTCGCCCTCAGGCATGCGATACTGTTGTTCCGGAATGCTTCAGGGTCGTCGTACATCTCGCGGCCTGGTTCTGGTGACGCTCGTCCCTTGGCTGATGACGAAGCTGTTGTGCTACTTGCTGGCGAGCTCTGCGCCTGAAAATTGTGAATAAGGATTATAAAGTTTATAGATAATAAGGTGATAGGTACTTAAGAAATAATAGTAAAAACTATTATCGAATTTGTTAAATTCAATATGTGCAAGGGAAAATTACTTTTTTTGACAAGAAAAATTAATTATACCTACGTAGATAGTATGTGTTTGTTTTGTGAAACAAAAAATGAAGTACTTATTAAATATATATATTATGGCCAAATATATATATAACAGCAGCCAGCAGCAGTAGGTCATCGATAGCCTCATGTGCAGTGTAATCAACGCTAATTTTCAACGCTAATTTCACATAAAGTGACTATCGAGTCGATTATACCCACTACTTCGTTTTACCCTAAATTTTAGTGTTATTAGTATTTTGTTCAAGTAGATACCGAATTAATATTTAAATTGCCAGCATAAATAAATTCTTATACTTATGTATTATTTACCTATATACCTATATGGTTCTATGATAAAAAAAACTTAGGTAGTAACAAAAGAATCTTCAAATATAATATAATGAAAAAGTCTAGGTATTAGAAATAAAAGTCACTTATAAGTACTAGTAATAGTAATAAACGATACAGACGAATACGGTCGTCGATATAAATGAAATTGGCATTTATTAGTACCTAGTATTTTTGTAATAGCAATTACATTTCCTTGTCACTTTATGGGCACACATTTCCCCGCTTACTGCTTCATTAGAATACTCTAGAACTATTATGTTGTTTTAAATATATTTTCCTGTGCGACATGCAGTGCTGTTACTAATTCTATAACCTTTGTATGATAGATATCTTTATTGCCTCATTACGGTTATCTCTAAAAGAGTAGGTAACGATTATTTAAAAGATAGGTACCTACTTATTCTAAAGTAATTATTTATATTCTAGTAGTTGTAGTAGGGTGGGTTACACCGCCAGGTCCAATGTACCTTCACGCGAACACTATCATGGTTTAAACAAACAAACAACGCAACGGATTTTGAAGCGGTTTTTTTAAATAGATAGTGATTCAAGAGGAAGATTTAGATATATGTATAATAGGTACATGTACACCCGTGCGAAGGTTGGTAGCTAGTTTTAAATAAGATATTCTTATGTGTTTTCTTACAAAAAGAAGACATGCATGTAGGTACCTGATTGTCGTGATTATCATGGTGGTGCGGGGACGCGGACGGCGCTCGCTCCACCTCCGGCTCCGAGCCCTCACGTTCGGACCCTGACTCCTTGAGGTGCTGTGCCGCCTCCAGTGACTTACGGTGCATGCCTGAAAACAAAACAACTTGCATGTAATGTACCGCTGCTTCATATAGACAGTAACTAACTTAATCGCGATTTCGTATGCTTTTTTTTTTATATAAAAGACAGCTTATGTTCATTGTCTATTTTTCATTCGAGCCTGAAAAGGTTACAAACAAACAGATAAACACATATTTATAAAATAGTATAGATGACCGCGTGAAAAATAGGTCGAATCCGGAATAAATCGAAATATATTACGCCAAATTTCAAAGTTTCTAAAGAGAGATATATAGACAGATTGAAAGAAGAAGAATCGAAAAAAATTACAGACAGACACATAATAAGTACCATGGGGTATACATACAATATTTTTTTAATTATATTACTGTAACAACGCAACAAATAAGATAATTAGGTAGATACATATTGGTACGACTCGATGGCGCGGCGTTGAATTCAACCAGTCGAATTACGAATGCCTACTTAATGTTACGAGTAGTTAGTTATATATTAGAAGGCTACATTGCGAACACATAGTGAAAAAAATATAAACTTAGGGGACTTTACGACGCCGTGCGTGATGTTCATAAATAATGTAGTTTGCAAGTGGAGCAACATGGGTCGTAAACGGACTTCGTGCTGTCATACTCGCATAGCAATAAATGATAATGAGAGATGCGTCCCGTCGAATGGCGACGGCATTGCATTCTGTATGCACTTACTAGTATGTAGTACCTCTGTGACCACTACAAGAGACAGAGTCTAACTTCATAAGTGATATTTTTATTTTATACTTGTTCTTTATAAATATTTGTCTTAATAAGCAAATAGGAAATGGAGTCTTAATAGTCTTAAATAGGAAATGGAGTCCTAAAAATATAGAGAAACGATAATAATAATCCTGGACAATTCACAGAGCGTCATCTAGTACCGAGCTAAGAAGAACTTGTGTTATGAATACTAGACAACTGATATTATTACTTAAATACATTATTTTTTTGAATACATACATAAATAGGAAGCACTCAGACCAATGTAAACAATACCTACTAATGAATACAAAAGTTTTGTTTTAAAGATTTGTATTGCTTTCTTAAAGAAGATTTAATTAAGTACTTTTGTGTCTTTTTATTCAATTTAGTTTGTAGTTCTAGTAGTTTGTACTCTAAATCTTTTAGATATGTCAAGACTATTTACGTATCTTTCTTTGCGGATTAGCTATCGAAATATATTTAAGAAAGATTATATGAAGACGCTTCTATTATGTTTATTTAAATAAACATTATTTATATTCTGTTATATTATCTATATTCTGTAACTTATACGTAGGAAATTGTATAATATTAGATACTATATACGTATATACGAAAATATAATATAACATAAGTATAATATGAAATAACATTTAAATAAGGTTTACTTCATTACATCTAATAATTTGCACTAGATAGGCATCTAGTTTATGCCAACAATTTTAATTGTTAGGTAATTATGGGGAATATTTCCAATTCGAAAGTTTCAGAAATGTTGGAAGTATGTTTATTACGTTCTACTTGTAGCTACGGAATTTTCAAGTTGGGCAAACTTGGCAGGAATGGTATTAGCACAAACATGCAAGAATGTCTATTGATTTTCTTAAAAAGCCTAGATTCTATATGTGTGTCTATTATTCATTCCTAAATAAGCATAAAGAGTAATACTTTTTAAAGATATCAATTTATTACAAATATTATGCACCGAATTGAGTTTAATGTATTGTTAAAAAAAAAGATCAAACCTGACAATTGCTTAAGATACCGCGAATCCATACATCATAAAAAAATGTCAATTGAGAAAGTAGGTAATTCCTTTTCAAGGCAAATTACCATAAAGTAATAAGGAGTGGTCTATATATAGTATAGTAACTATATCCCATTATAAATTTAAAGTCTAGACTTCAATATGGTTGTAGTTGAATGTGAAAAACAACATAGGTATTTTATAAATATGACAACCGTCAAATAAACCCGTTTTAGCTATTAAATTGTTTTTGTCTATGCGGTCTACTTTAAAAACCAATTCCGATCATATCCTGAATCATATAATGAAATATTACATTGCTCCATTTCATACATTTTATATACTCTTAAAAATTAATGGACAAATTTTTCGATTTAATTGTAATAGTTTTCATTACGTTTAAAAAAACAGATTTGGAGCCTAAATTCAAGACTGATGTAACAGACATATCAGACCTATGACTGGTCTTAAAATAAATAAATATTTAAGATGAGTTGGGTAGTAATTGGTAAAAAAGTTTATCCATAAGATTATAGTTTTTACGGAAAAGAGAGTTATAAAACAAATTAGCTTTTAGCTCTTAGATTAAACAGCGAGATGACACGAAGCTTCGGAATCAGTTTACATGCCATGTCGTCTGGAGACATGATAGATGGGAGTTGCGAGCTAGTATGAGCTAATTTTGTGACTTATAGATGTTATGTGATAGAGTTATAGATGGAAGAGATCGAGACGCACTTATGTATATGCAGCATATAAAGCAGAGTCAGTAATATTTGTTTACTAAAAATAGAATTATCTAGTAGGTTACTATACCTCTTGCTTACTAGCTAGAATTATTCATCAATTTGAAATAATTTGACGTTAAACTGCAAGAATTCTTGTATTTATCTGAATTTGTTATTGACTTATCTAGATAAGATAAATACCTACTTTTCCACTTATACAAGAAGTAAAACACTATTTAAATAAATAAATTAGAAAAAAGAATTCCGCATATCCTATATAAACTAAAAGGATAATCTATTTTAGATTAAAAATAGGCTTTATTCAAATACATTGAGTACCTGAAGTATAAAGTACTTTCTTAACTTTTTTGGAATACTGATTCAGCTCAATATGATGGAAAATCTTATTGTTTATTTATACGCAGGGTGTATTACAATATCTTTTCTACGATAGTCAAAGAGAAAATATGAATATAAATATTTTTGATATAAAAGCTACGTGTTTTTTTTTTTTTGTTAAAATAATATAGAAACATTAAAACTAATTTAATAATTAAACATTAATACAAAAGCAGTAAATATGCAACTGCGTGTCGACAACGAGTTATAGCGTGAAGCAAGCCTTCTTTAATATCTAGACGTAGTATTTTTACGAGATTTTTACTGACGCGTCAGCATCCACTTTGAATACCTAATCAGGGGATTTATTTATGAGCAGCATCTCCCGGCATTAGAGGAGTGTTGGTTAGGAACTTGGGATACAGGGCGCGTACACAATACGACTGCGAAATGAATTGTAGTTGGAAATTATATTATTATGACATTGCTAGAGTTTTGTCATATCGTCCACTTCTTATGCGGTCAACAGAGCATATACAAATTTGAATAGATATAATACGATAACGCTTATGAAGTTGGTAACAGATTGATGTCGAAAATGCTAAAGTAGCAGCTTGGAAAGATTTGTGAAAAGCAACTAAAACTCGCTTTAATAGTTAAGAATATATACAATAGAAATAAGATATACCTTATTTACCTTAGTTGTGAAAAATAGACTCATCTGACTGTTAACGTCTGTACAATACACCAGGGGTGAAAAATTCTATGATGTAGAAAACCTCAAGAGACTGTAGTATGGGGTTTATTCTATACGACGAAAACTGATCTGAAGCAGCCCATATGTTTCAAATTGGGAAGATGATTTCGTTGTTGATGGTGAGCAATACAATGGTAAAATTCTCTATTTGTTGGGATAAACTATAGAAATGCCATTGAATTTAACATCTCCTTACAGCAGTTGGCTCTATAAGCAATTATATACCTCTCAACTATATACGGGTGTAAGTTATGATTTTACATTATTTGGTATAAAACATTCAGATTAATTTAGACCTCGCTTCGATATAAGTCTAATTTGATTAGAGAAATATGTAGCATTAAATTACTCTACTCTACAATAATTATTCTGATAATTAATTTATCGTTTAAATATACTAAGTTTTTACCATTGCAGAGCATTGTAATTAAATTGCCTAACAACCAAAACCAAATACTTTTCAGGGTACATCAGATCCCGGGATAATTAAGGTCCGAAAACAGCCGTCCAATTGCGTGTGTTAATGAGGCGATCGGACGGTCACGGGCGTAAATGGTCATTAACGTGTTGTACGAACCCAATAATGGCCTGATTTGTCTGTTACGTCCGGAACTTTATCCATTAGCGCCGGCGAGTAAATACGGCATCGCGCGGTTGATATATCGATTCAAGTTACTTAACGTTAACCTACTCTGGACTTGACAATTATACTATAATCATTATAGCAAGCAATTGTGATACCTATTTACAATGTATTAGAATTATAAATCCATTACATACATATTATCATGCACGATCGAATATGTAATACTGCTATTATTACAGTATATATAATATAGAACTGTAGAAGATATAATTTAAGTGTTTATACTTGTTGCTTTCTCCAGATTTAAGCTTCATGAGCTAGATGCTTATTGTTCTATTACTAGCAATTATACTTATATAAAATTTTTTTTACTCAATGTTACCTATATCATTACTTTTAGTTGCATCTCTTGAATGCCTTCCTTTCAAGATCACACATTTACCATCAATGACATCTACTTTACATCTCACGATAACAATATGAAATCAAAGGGAAAAATCATGGGTACTCGTATCCTATTCCGTTATAATTAACAAAGAGTTACTTTGGCCATTGCAAAACTACATCTAGCCTCTTCATAAAGTAAGTTTCCACGTAATAAAGTACAAAATTGAATGAGATATCGCGTCGGGAGTGCACTTTGTGCGTTTTCACTCAAGATAATGGCAAGCGTGTGTCATTTTGCGGAGATGAAAGAAAGATGAACAAAGCAAGTGGATAATAGGTAGATAATTCTGTAAGGTGCTCTAGAGATGCATTATGTTCCATTTGCGATCGTATTCAAGTAGCCGCAGAATGTCCGATCACTGATGTATTGCGATGGGGCGCAATCAAAG